CACTGTTCTTTCGTTGCGATTTCCTCATTCTTCCATCCTTGTGCTATCAAGACCCTTGCCGCTGTCGTAGCATACGTAAATAAATTCTTTGTTTTCCTTGGCAGGTCTTGTCCTACAATCACTAACAAAAATGCTTCTGGTTTATTTTTTTTACAAATGTCATTTTAAACATTTTTTTTTAGTTCATTATATATCATTTCCCATTTTTAAAAAACTTCTCTACATTCCCACCACATATGATAAAAAGTCCCTTCTTTTTATCTGCATTTCCAACATGTATTTGACCCGGTTTTATACATTTTTGGCAACTGCCTTTCTTCTAATTCTCCTTTTGCACCCTGAAAAGTTCTATGTTTTGGGAACACACTGCTGAAAATTTTTCTCCAGGAAACAAGATCCTGCAAATGTATCTACTGTATACTATAAACATAAACCTGTTTTGTATACAGTGGTACCTCTGGTTGCGAACGGGATCTGTTCCGGAGCCCTGTTCGCAACCTGAAGAGAACGCAACCTGTGTCTGTGTGTCTGCGCATGCGCGGGTCACAATTTGCCACTTCCGCGCATGCGCGTGACATCATTTTGCGTGTCTGCGCATGCGTGAGTGGTGAAACCTGGAAGTAAGCTGCAGCGTTTGCAACATGAAGTATGACTGTACTTTAACTTTCATGGTGGTCAGAAGCAGTAATGCTTCTGAATGCCAGTTGCTGGAAACCAAAGGAAAAGAGAGTACTCTTGGGCTTGGGTCCTGCTGGAGGACTCAGGCATTTGGTTGACTACTGTGAGAACAGGATGACAGACTAGATAAGCCACTGGCTTGATCCAGTAGGCTCTTCTTATGTTCTCAAAGAATCTTGGGAACTGTATTTTGATGATGTGCCGTGACTATTAAGAAACCCTACCAACCGCCTCTCACAACTACAGTTCCCAGCTTTCCATTGCTTGAGGGAATGCCTGTAAACAACTTTGCCTGTAGTGTGGAAAAACCCAAGAAGTGGTTCCCTGCATCTCAGAACTGTTGCAATCTGTGTCCCAATGCTTATGGGAATAATGAGCAAAGATTCATTTGTGTTGGTCTGGAGGAACAATAAGGATGGCCCAACAGGGTACCAAGGGGCTTTGTAAGTTGCAACTTACATTCCTACTGGGCAGAACAAAATGAAGCCCAAACTGTACTATTGATTGATACTTCACAGAAGACCTAGGAGTTCTGATTGACAGCTGTTCCATCTCTCTGCTCACAAGAAGCAAGGTCTTTTGTAAACCACACCAAACAGTCCATTCTCTGCTGATTAAAATCACTAGAGGCTGACAGACATAAGAGGGTTCGGAAAATCTCAAACTGAATCTCTTGTCAAGATACTTTACACTACTACCTGAGGCATGTTCTAATCATCCAGAAATGTTAGCACCTGTCACCTCCTGTTGCTTAAATGCTTTACGATACCACAGTGATCCTACAAATGTTCATGCACCTCTCCCTGACATCAACATCTTTGTCTGAGGGTAATTATCCCCTGATCAAGGTGATTGTGACACTTCCACTGTGCTCCTTCCCTGGTGCTCCCTCCCAAAGATATGAATCTTCTTAGAGCACATCTGCTTAACAGCTGCCCATGTTCTGTTTCAGTAGTGTGGTGCATGACTGAAAAGTTCTGGAAGTAACCATAGAAAAAGCTTGGGATATTTTCTTTTCTCTCAAGCTCTCACCACACTGAAAGCAGTGATGCACCTATGTGAAGCTTGTTTTGGTTACATTATTGTCTCAGTTATGCAGGAGACCAGAGAAGGCTGAGGAGGTCCTCTGATCATGTAGACTTCAAGGACCAGATGAGATGTGTAGACAAACTCTCCCACTTCGTAAACAATCTTGCTTGCCCTCCAGTCCCCCAGTTTCGGCGGAAAGCTGCCATTACTCTCTGCACGTTCTACATCATGGTCAGAGCATTAACTTCAAGGTAAGGCTTTCCTCTCCCTCCCATGAAATGTTGACTCTCATGTAGGTGCTCAAGACACAGAGATCCTACTTGACTGATGGGAAGGGGAAAGGTCATAACAGACTGGGCGACCTCATGTGTTTTAATGTCTTTTTAATCTTTGTTGGAAGCCACCCTGAATGGCTGGGTAAACCCAGCCAGATGGGCAGGGTACAAATAATAAATTATTAGTAGTAGTAGGAGGAGGAGGAGGAGGAGGAGGAGGTTCAAGCACTTTCACTGTGGCTACTCAGTGGTGTTGTAAATACCTGCCATTGACCAGTTTTCTGCTTAGCCTGGCCAGGAGTGTGGTCTGGGGAGAGTCTTGAGAATTGGAGGACCACATTTGCCCTGGGTCTAAGGTAGGAACCTTATTCCTTCACTAGACAATCCTGGACTAAATAGACCAATTATCTGAATCAGTATAAGGTCTTAGGCAGAGGTGTTTACCAGCTTTGCGTGCCTTTTCACTGGAGATTCCCTGTGACTGAACTGGGATCTCCTCCTTGCAAAACCTGTGGTCTAGCACAGTCCCTATGCTGGCTGCGTACCTGAAGCAGCAAGGTGGAATTTAATTTGCATTCAGCGCTATCAGGTACATTCCTCCGGGAAATGATATATCCATATGCTACGCCGTACCTATTTTGGTGATTCATGGAGTAGATCTAGCAGGCAGCATACTGCTTCTGACATTACCTCGCCGGAGAACATTGTTCCGACAAAGATCATCAAGATGGGATTTGCCTCATTGCCACTTGGAGCCATATTCGGAAGGGGAAATGGCTTTCAGCTGCATCCAGTCACACGTCCTAATATTTCATAAGATAATGAGATGGAGTCAGTGTTGTTGATCACAGAACAACTTTTAATGAAATACCGGCAAGGAGATGTTTCCTTGCACATCAGTGGTGCAGCAGAAGGAGGGGGTGGGTGGGTGGTACAGTAATGATCCAAGCAAACAAAAGAAAACTACATGGACTGCTTCTGTTAGCTTCCCATTCCACAGGCAGCTCATAGCCAAGGTGAGATAAGGGGTGTACGCAGGACATGGGTGGTGCTGTGGTCTAACCCGCTGAGTCTCTTGGGCATGCTGATCAAAAGTTGTTGTGGACACAGTGGTGGGAGCATCCAATTGGCTCTTCCATTGGGGCTGCCACATACTGACTTCCCTACAACCTCCCACCTTCCCGTCTTCATAATAGTGGGAGTGGGTGGCGCTATGGACTAAACCACTGAGCCTCTTGGGCTTGCTGATCAGAAGTTGGTGTGTACACAGTGGCGGGAGCATCCAATTGGCTCTGCCATTGGGGCTGCCCCATACTGACTTCCCTACAACCTCCCACCTTCCCCTCTTCATAATAGTGAGAGTGCGTGGCGCTGTGGTTTAAATCACTGAGCCTCTTGGGCTTGCTGATCAGAAGCTTGGCAGTTCGAATCCACACAATGGGGTGAGCTCCCGTTGCTTTGTCCCAGCTTGAGTGTTGGAGTGATTCATCTCTGCTTGAAAGGAAGAGAGTGAAGCTGCAGGAGAAGGTAAAAGTGGAAATCTCTCATAGGAACTGCAAGGCATGGCCTCATTGAGATACAGAAGGCTGAATGCTGAGCTCTGGAAAGAGAGGAAAACACTGTTGTTTGGAAGTTAGAAGCATGGACTGCAAGCTCATGCTTCGATGAGCCTGTAGCTGTAAATTATATTCATCTATAAATTTCTGCAAGTTAAGTTTTCAAATGTTGAAGTCTGGACATTGGTTTAATTTCCAAAGAAGGGTGTCAGTCAGTCTTAGCTGCGATTTTCCTATTCTTTCTTCAACAATACCACTCCTCCAAATATTAAGCTTTCATTCCCCAAGCAGTGTTGTGTTTTACTCTTGATCCACAAGTCAAAGAAGCATCCACCAAGAATGTGTTTGCTACAGGATAGCCTGCTTTAGTTATCCAATAGCTTAGGGGCATATGAGACTGCCTTACACTGAATCAGACCATTGATTCACATAGACCAGTCTTGTCTCTTCTGACTGGCTGGAGCTGTCCAAGCTTTCAGACAGGGAACTTGTGAATGTCTACTTGGCAATGGCCAAAATTGAGCCTGGGGCTTTCTGCATGCTAAATATGTGTTCTGCCGTTAGCTTCTGTAGATTTTACACATACAGTGGTACCTTGGTTTAAGAACAGCTTAGTTTATGAGTGGCGCTGTGGTCTAGACCACTGAGCCTAGGGCTTGCCGATCGGAAGGTCGGCAGTTCGAATCCCTGTGATGGGGTGAGCTCCCGTTGCTCGGTCCCTGCTCCTGCCAATCTAGCAGTTTGAAAGCACGTCAAAGTGGAAGTAGATAAATAGGTACCGCTCCAGCAGGAAGGCAAATGGTGTTTCTATGTGCTGCTCTGGTTTTGTCAGAAGTGGTTTAGTTGTGCTGGCCACATGACCCAGAAAAATTGTCTGCGGACACACACCAGCTCCCTTGGCCAGTAAAGCGAGATGAGCGCCGCAAACCCAGAGTCGTTCGCGACTGGACTTAACTGTCAGGGGTCCTTTACCTTTACCTTAGTTTATGAACAACTTGGATTAAGAACGCTGCAAACCAGGAAGTAGGTGTTTTGGTTTGTGAACTTTGCCTTGGAAGCAGAACATGTTTTGCTTCCTGTTGAGTGCGTTCCATTTGTAAATTGAGTCCCCCGGTGCTATGGGAAGGCATGCCTTGGTTTAAGAACGGACTTCCGGAACAGATTAAGTTCGTAATCCAAGGTACCACGGTAGACTCATAGTAAATGAGTCTCTCTATGTATTTGATTTTTATCAAGTTTTATTTCATTCATACCCCACCTTTTTCTCCAAGGAGCACAAGGTGGTATATATGGTTCTCCCCCTCCTTGTCTAATCCACACAACGACCCTGTGAGGTAGGCTAGACTGAGAGGCAATGACTGGCCCAAGGTCACCCAGGGAGCTGCATAGCCGTGAGGGGATTTGAACTCCAGTCTCCCAAGGTCCTAGTCCAACGCTCTAACCCAGTGGTTCTCAACCTGTGGGTCCCCAGATGTTGTTGGACTACAACTCCCATCATCCCTAGCTATGGGAGTTGTAGTCCAACAACATCTGGGGACTCACAGGTTGAGAACCCCTGCACTAACCACTACACCTCACTGGCTCTCAGATCATCTTCATAACAGAGGGTGGTATTCCACATAGCATTAAGTGAACTTTCCATCAGCAAAAGGGTTTCTCTTTCTACAGCAGAATATTATCCCTCTCTCCTCCCCGCCCCCACCGTACTCCCATCCAGTGTGTTCTAGGGGTTCTCCAAACCTCAGGAGCAGATCTGGAGTTGGGGCATATGTGGAGAGGAGAATTGGGAAAATCCCACTGTAGAAGTGGAAATCCTTGCACTGATTGGATGCAGTAGCTGAGTCACAACCCAACATGCTCAAAGCAATAACATTGTGAGCCTTCAAACGACCACATTTTAAGCATGACTAGTACATTCAAGGCTTTTTTTGTGGTTCTGCTCTATTTATGTTGAAATTTCAAATACTCTTTGGACTTGCAGCTGACTTCTAGCAAAGGTTATCCTGCTTATCTAAATTAGCTTGCAGAGGCGTAGAGGATCTGCAGAGCCTTTTGGATTTGTTCAGTCAGTTTAAGCTTTATATACTGCTTTTTATCTTAATTGCCAATAATGTGGCTTATGTTTCTTCAGTGAAAGGGGGGGACCATTTGTTGCACTTTTGACTGATTAGAATAGAAGCAAACTACTAGAAAGAGATAATGTTTTAAAAAGCTGGAATACAAATACTAGTGGTTGATCTCTGAAAGAGAAAGGGCTTGAAATTTTGGTATAAGTGTATGTTTGTTATAAGAAAAATGTGTCCCAGTTTTGCCAAAGAAAAAGGAAAAATCGCCTAGGATGAATTGGATACAAAAATGATGTTGCTATCATATCAGTGAGCGGCATTTTTGGCCTAATGCATCTCTTGTGTCACATTAATTAATACTTTTAACACACAAGCAAATGCACCATGAGAAAATAATAAGAATAAACAATCAAAACAGGGCGGTAAAACTTATAATTAACGTACAGTGCTTATTACGAATAACCTGTCTTATAGGCTTACAGACTTTTAGCTACTACTTATCACTTATTTAAGGGATGGAGAGTATCTTCTGGTACTAGGGATTAAAACTGATAGTATTTTGCTTCTGAACATGGATGCTCCATTTAATCATCAGGGCCCACCCTCCCATAAGGTGGAGAAGGGGCAGCAGTGGCTTTCATCAAGATCTCACCAAAATGTCACAAGATATTGTGCGGTCTGCAAGATCCTTCAAGACCACCATGAGATCTTGCAAAAGTTCCATGAGATTTCATGAGGTTTTGCTGGAACCTGCCTTTTCTGCGTTGCGGGCACTGCTATGTGACCCAGCTAAGGGAGGCTTTGGTGGCGAAGAGGAGCTTTTTGTTTTGCCTCAGCCAGTGAAACGGGTTGCGCCACCCCTGAGCCATCATGCCTACTAGCCATTGCTGGATCTCTCCTCCATGAATGTTTCCAATCCCATTTTAAAGGACCCTTGACCATTAGGTCCAGTCATGGCCGACTCTGGGGTTGCGGCGCTCATCTCGCTTTATTGGCTGAGGGAGCCGGCGTACAGCTTCCGGGTCATGTGGCCAGCATGACTAAGCCGCTTCTGGTGAACCAGAGCAGCGCACGGAAATGCCGTTTACCTGCCTGCCGGAGCGGTACCTATTTATCTACTTGCACTTTGACGTGCATTCGAACTGCTAGGTTGGCAGGAGCAGGGATAGAGCAACGGGAGCTCACCCCGTCACAGGGATTCGAACCACCGACCTTCTGATTGGCAAGTCCTAGGCTCAGTGGTTTAACCCACAGAGCCACCCTGAGCTCCAAATGGTCCAATGGTCTATGGCAAGGATGGGAAACCTGTGACCCTCCAGAAGTCTTGGAGATGGTGAAAGTGGTAATCTAGCAATAGCTGAAGGGCCCCACCCTCATTGTTGTTGGAATCATCCTTTGACCATGGCTATGCAGGTAAAGGTAAAAAGGTAAAGGACCCCTGGACAATGAAGTGCAGTCAAAGGCGACTATGGGGTTGCGGCACTCATCTCACTTTTAGGCCAAGAGAGCCAGCGTTTGCCCACAGACAGCTTTCCGGAAATGCCATTTACCTTCCCACCAGAGCGGTACCTATTTATCTACTTTCACTGGTGTGCTTTCGAACTGCTAGGTTGGCAGGAGCTGGGACAGAGCAACAGGAGCTCACCCCGTCATGTGGATTTGAACCGTCAACCTTCTGATCATCAAGCCCAAGAGGCTCAGTGGTTTAGACCACAGTGCCACCCGCTCCCCGTGGCTATGCAAACTAGGGCTAATGGGAGTTGGAGGAGTCCAACATCAGCTGGAGGGCATTGGTCCCCAATCCATGCTGCCGAGTCTCATCTACAGGAGTCAGATTTAGCCCCAACAGGAAAAGCTCTGAAGTTAACTATCCGACATCTTCCATGAAGAATACAATTTCCCTTTCTATCTTGAGTACTTCTTTCTATCCTCCAGTGTCTAATGAGTGACCCTACTGCTCCCTGTCTTTTCCCCCTTGCACGCTCTCTTCATTTCGGATTTACTTTAGCAAGGAATGTTCTTCTTAATTGTGATTGATCAGCTAGTTGCGTTTCTAGTTCTCTTTTGCTGTAACTGTTACTTGCTATAAATCAGGTTTCTTTTAAATGGGACAGCAATTTCCAATTCACTTTGAATGGTGCATTAGCTTAAATCCAGCAACAAGTGTTGGAGGGAGTATGTGTTCTCCCCCAAAGCTTAGATAGGGACACAGCTGAGTCGTAAAGCACAAGCAGAAGGCCCCAAGTTTTATCCCTGGGATACAGCAAAGAGTTGCTGTCAGTCAGTGATGACCAGCTTTCCCCAACCTGTGGTTCTCCAGATAAAACTGGAGAACTCCCATCATTCCTGAACATTGCTGGTTGGAGCTGGTGGAAGCTGAAATCCAACATCATTTGGAGGGTATCATAGAATCGTAGAGTGGAAGTCAAATCCCCTAAAATGCAGGAATTTCAGCTAAAGCCTCCATGACAAATAGCCATCCAACCTCTGCTTAAGAACCTCCAGAGAAGGAGAGTCCATAACTTCCCAAGGGATACTGTTCCACTGTCAACAGCTCTTACTGTCAGAAAGTTTTGGTAATTTCTCAGATGGTTAGTCTTGAAGGAGAACCCACAAATTCACTTTTAGTTCCTCATGGGTTGGTATCTGCGGGGGCAACTCTAATTACCATTTTCATACGGAGCAATAAAGTTTGGTGTTTTTGTATTTTGAGCAGAGGTTTTAAACATAGCACATGATTTGTATTCTGTAAACCTTCTAATCCATGGGTAGGCAAACTAAGGCCTGGGGGCTGGATCTGGCCCAATCTCCTTCTAAATCCAGCCCGTGGATGGTCCAGGAATCAGCATGTTTTTACATGAGTAGAATGTGTCCTTTTATTTAAAATGCATCTCTGGGTTGTTTGTGGGGCATAGGAATTCATTCACCCCCCCAAAAAAATATAGTTTGGCTCCCCACAAGGTCTGAGGGACAGTGGACCAGCCCCCTGTTGAAAAAGTTTGCTGACCCCTGTTCTAATCCCTTGCCAGTTCCAGGTGTGCCTCTCTGCCTGCATTACACAGGCCAGGTTACTATAAAGCTTGGGTTGCACAATCGCAGACCCTCCATGTGTCCCTATTTTCCAGGGACAGCCCCAAGTTATTACAGAAACCATGCTGGTTTCTGATTTGATCCAGGAATGTCCCACTTTTCCTTTGGACGTCCCTATTTTCAAAGGAAGATCATGGCCACTGAGTCCATCACCTCCTGGCAAATAGAAGGGGAAGAAATGGAGGCAGTGAGAGATTTTACTTTCTTGGGCTCCATGATCACTGCAGATGATGACAGCAGCCACGAAATTAAAAGACGCCTGCTTCTTGGGAGAAAAGCAATGACAAACCTAGACAGCATCTTAAAAAGCAGAGACATCACCTTGCCGACAAAGGTCCATATAGTTAAATCTATGGTTTTCCCAGTAGTGATGTATGGAAGTGAGAGCTGGACTATAAAGAAGGCTGATCGCTGAAGAATTGATGCTTTTGAATTATGGTGCTGGAGGAGCCTCTTGAGAGTCCCATGGACTGCAAGAAGATTAAACCTATCCATTCTGAAGGAAATCAGCCCTGAGTGCTCACTGGAAGGACAGATCCTGAAGCTGAGGCTCCAATACTTTGGCCACCTCATGAGAAGCGAAGACTCCCTGGAAAAGACTCTGATGTTGGGAAAGATGGAGGGCACAAGGAGAAGGGGACGACAGAGGACGAGATGGTTGGATAGTGTTCTCAAAGCTACCAGCATGAGTTTGACCAAACAGCGGGGGGCAGTGGAAGACAGAAGTGCCTGGCGTGCTCTGGTCCATGGGGTCACAAAGAGTCGGACACGACTAAACGACTAAACAACAACAACCATTTTCATTGTAGAAATGATGGGGAGCATGGAATAGGATGTCCCTATTGTCATCGGAGAAATGTTGGAGAGTATGTAATCGGCTGTTCTCTTGCCTTTGTTTGTTGGGAGTTCTGCTTAATTATGTAGTGCATTCCATATTTGCAACCAAGTCTGTTCTGTTATCTTATCCAAGCCTGTGTACTTATCACAGAGCAGCAGGAATGGAATGCCAAACTGGGATCTTTGTGGATATCATCATATGCGAAAACAACTTGTATACAGTGGCAAATGTTTCTAGCCCTGGGGATAAATTCATGCCTTTGTTTACAGTCCGTGTATGTGTGTAAAACATGTTGTGCAGTCCTGTTTTTCTATCTTGGCTGAGCTATGATGGTCATAACTAAGCCCTCTGGTTGGGTGGTGGTGTTTTTTAACAATTATATTTGTTTCCAAGGTTATTACCAGGGCAGCCATGCAGCCAAAGCAAAGTAGAAGATATACTGTCTGGGCCACTGAAGGCAGCAGTTTTATTTCATCAAGATGGCCACCAACAGCAATAACCTCAGGCAATGCTGTCAGTTGCGTTTATGAAAAACTTAAAACTCTCCAG